CCTCCACTGACAGTGCTTGTTTTTGCCACTAACAGGCTCAGATTGTTATTAAAAGTGTCTGATAGCATTATAGGAAGGGTCCCTATAGAGACAGACATATAAATGAAATGGTCCATTTTGTTAACCAGAAACCACCCCAAAATTGCTATTGCCACACCCACCATAAAGCAGTCATTTGAGCGTTCTGTTGGAAGATGAACCAAAAAGGGTTTTGTGTGTTTTGTTTTGTTTCTGTTGACTTTGAATGATGTGTGTTTTATGTTGAAAGTTGAGTTGAGTCTGGTGGGTTTGGGATAGTGAGCTCTGGGCTGTTTCTGCTTAAACAAAAGCTCTATCTCTGTCTGGATCTTTTCCATAATGTTGTCAGACACCTAGAATAAAAAATCTGAGTCTGTCAGTGGCAAAAACGAGCACTTTTAGTTTACTTTTAGTTTACTGGACCAGTTTCAAAAACTGTTGATCCCATTAGTGATTGATTTAGACAAAAGAACCTGGGAAAATTGGGTCCAGGTTGAAAATACTGAAGTTACCCTTTAAGAGGAACATTCATACAATACACTGAACCTTCATTTAGACCCATCAAGAGTTCTGGGGACAATCCCCTCACATGCCCCGCATTCCCAACTGTTATTCCTCTCTAGATGATCTGAAACTCTTTTCATCAATCATGAGGACTTGACTAACAGAGGATTTGACCATTGCTTTCTAAAATAGCTACGTCTGGAGTGGAAGAACAAAGCTGAGGCTGTTGAGCAAAGGCAGTGCATTGATCTCCTGGAGGCCATGTTAGAACTGGAACAGAATGAGAGGATCACTCCCAGTGAAGTCATCATCCATCCATATATTGACAAGGGCCACCACAGATCCAAGTAAGTGTGTGTGAGTGTGTTTCGTCCTGACGTGAGTCATTTTTATTACAATTGGATTAGTGATTGTTGCATACTTGTTTATTGTTGTGGTAAGCTCTGAGTCTTGTTTCCAACCCAACATTAAAAAGAACAGGAATAGGATCAAGATGACCATGGAAATGACACACACAAAAAATGGAGGCCTCAGCCCAGCTTCCACACAGCTTCCAACCAGTCCGATCATGGTTCGTCCTAAAGCAGCCAAGGGCTTCCCGAAGATGCGCCATGATCTGGACATCAGGTGAGATTATCTCTTCTGGTCATAAAACATATCTGTCAGGTATGACATTTCTTTTGAGATGACAACAACAGGAATAATACACTAACTGTGTGTGTTTGTGTGTTTAGTTTGAAGACTGACATTGACAGGAAGTCAAGAAATGCAGCATTGGCATCTGTAAGTGAGGAGCTGCCTGCTACTGCTGCTCTGAGAGAGGATGACACCAGCGGCATCCACCCAGACCAACACAGTGCAGCATCTCCCATAGGTCTTCCATCAGGTGTGATCATGGTTCGGCTTGCTGCACCTGAGAACACACTGCAGCTGGAAGATGAACAGAGTGCAGTGGATTTCCTCTGGTCATGACTGAAGCTTACATAATTCCTTGAAGATGTCATGACAATAACAGGAATAAATACCCTTAGTGTGTGTGTGTGTGTGTGTGTGTGTGTGTGGGTGTGTGTGTGTGTGTGTGTGTGTGTGTGTGTATAGATTGCAGGCTGACAAGATATCCTCAGAGAAAAGTCTGTGACAGTGACACAACAGCCACTCACACAGTCACTTCCTCTTCTGTCTGAATTGTTCTTTTGAAGGATGGTTGAGGTGTTTAATGTCCTTTCATTTTCAGTCAACACTATGATCCAGGAGAAGAAGAAAAAAAAGAAGAACTTTGTCCAGTGCTTCTTCTCTTGAATGAGGAAGACATTCTTCTCATTTACTCAGTGAGAATGACAAGAGAAGGTTTTCTTTTTTAAGCACGGTGGCTCAGTGGTTTGCACTGTGGCTTCACAGCAGGAGGTCTTGGCCTTCTTCCTGTCTGTGTGGAGTTTGCATGTTCTCCCTGCGACTTCATGGGTTTCCCACCACATGCCAAACACATGCAATTCAGGTGAACTGGACATTTTAAACAAGTTGATTTTAATTAAGTAAGACCACTCACCAGCTGCTGGCTAGTACCTACTTATTACTGACATACTGTCTACTGTACACACACTCACCTGTACTACATATGCTCTCACATACCTTTAAATATTTATACTGCTTTCCATCCTGTATATCGGTGCTTTCAGTTGGGTGGTGTTTACCTTGTTCACAGCAAATGTCCCTGTGAACGCCTCCCTCTTGTGGTATTCCGACCTCTTAAGTGGAAATTTTCTGGAAGCTTCAAGTTCTCGAGATATGATGCATTTGCTGACATTTTCAGAAATGGCAGAAGTTATGGATGTTAGTTTTTTGATTCATGATAGGTTAATGTATTGTAATTTTAGTTGTATAGAGCTGTTCCTTCAAATTGTTGTCATATGTCTGAAGAAGGTGTTGATATACCCAATGGCTTTATCTTTTTCCCCAGTCAATTTACAATACATTTCCTGCATTATGATACTGCTCCCTCGCTAGCCTGTTAAATTGTTAGTCTTGGTGGCCTTGGTGATTCTGACAGTAATATTAATATTAGCTAACATGCTTTTTACCCGTAAGTAACAGCTAACGTAATGACCACAACTGTGAAAGATGCATGCTGTAATCACTGGTTTAATGTAGTCCAAATTAAAGCAAGGCCAAATGGAAGGTAACACACACCTGGACACATGTAATTTCAATATACAAGTTCTGACTGACCCCTAATTTGGTGTGACAGTTGGCAGTAGGTCCCACCGCATGTGTAAGAAACAGACTGTAAATATCTTGATGCACTGCAGAAATACAGTACTACAAACACATAAGTACAATAAGTGGAAATTCTGAAATGGGATATTCTGCAAAATGAGCACTTTTACTTTTGATAGCCTATTTAAAGTATATTTTGATGCTACTACTTTTGTACTTTTGTTTAATGAAAAAATATATATTTCAGAACATTTACTTGTTACAGAATATTCACAAACTGTGGTATTGCTGCTTTTAATTTAGTAAAAGATCTGGTTACTTCCTTCGCCACTGCAAATGGCCAATCAACAATGCCATCCCTAGAGCTGTGCTGCTAGCATGGTTAAAAATCAAATTCTTTAACATTAGCATTTCAACATTTCAGTCAGATACCTGAAGAGCCTGCTCCTCCAGCCTCCACTCACCCTGCTCTTTAGAAAGTATTCTACATGTTTACCATGAAGGATCTCTGTTGTTTGTCTTTGTTGTTAATATTGGTGGGACTTTACCTAATCTGTATTTCCAACAGTAGAATGAACATTTTCTGTACTTGCGGATTATTTTAAGGTATCATGGAGTCCATGTTCCTCTGTCTGCAGAGGAACCAATTACTCTTTAGATGAAGAAAAAAATGGGATCAATGAAATATAAATATAAACATTTTAAACATCAGCCAAAGGAGTATTACACAACTTGGCAGCCTTAATGCTGTTCTTATCAATGGCTTACAACACATCTACAAAAGTATAGTACTCTCAAAAAATCTAAAAGTAACTAAAAGAAGTAAAGAGATTAATGTAACCCAATACTAAGAACAAAACACCTCAAGACACAGAATCAGTTGCTGCATAACAAGCCACGAAGGAAATAGTAAACTATTTTTATTGACATGTTTAAAGTCAGCTATTTACAAGTTCTCATAGTGGGCAACATTTCACACCATTACAGTTTGAAGAAAGAAAAAATTGTTTGTACATACAGGAACCTGGCCTCTTGACACAGGAGCCAGTCAGAGATGATGCTCACTTGCACATAACATCAGTTTGGCCGACAGATCAGGAGCATATATGCATGAATACTGAGTGCTCTGTTGTCTTTCATGTCACCATTTCACCAGATTGAAGAAGAGATCTTTTTATTAAACCTGCATCAGTAGCCCTGTCCCAGGTGTGTTTTGGCACAGTGATACATCATTGACTTTTAGCTGTGTTTTTGCATGTTTTCATTTATTTACCACAAATCACATAGAATATAGTTTACATCACTGCTGACAGTACCCTAACCATAATGCCAAAACATGAAAATAACACTGGTATTGTCCTGTAAGAGAGACTGAGTTATGCATCTTGCCACAAGATGGCAGTATAACAAAAAGAGTGGCCCTGTTAGACTTCTTGTACACCTTCAACAATAATAACCCCCTAAAGCCAGAGGCCTCCATGTAAAAAGATTAAGAACTTTTTGCAGATGACCCAGCAGAGTAATTAATTGGTCAAATATACTGTATGATAAAGGGAATCAGAAAAGCAAATGTTAATTTAGCAGTTTATAGTAAATAGTAAAATGAAGCCTATATTTTACTGCATATCAAGGCTGGAAGAAATTTTCATAGTGAGGGCTTTCTTCAAAGCTCATGAGGATAAGGGCTCGGGCAGCTAATCAAATGATCCATCAACTGGTACCAAATGGGAGGCCTGAATGACTCAGGGTGCCCAGAGCTGGACAGAAGGCCTGGAAGATGCCAGGGATGATATAGTCTCACAGCTCAGCTCAGCTGTTTTGATAGGGGCCTAAAAATCCGCCCAGTCACCAGAGTAAATTGTTGGCATTTTACGTTTCTGCAAACCACAAATAAATTACATTTGCATGTTTTATACATATCATATCGACGTTTCAAAAGTGACTTTGTCATTGGAGGTGGAGGTGGTGGTGGATACCATGGTACTTAGGAGAGAGACCTGCAGACTACTGCAGACCACTGTTCGAGACCAACAAACAACAGAACTGGTTGTGTTTTAGGGACCCATTGCTGTTTATCAGCGGTGATAGTGCCATGAAAAGTGATTGTTTTTTAAAGAGGCATCACTGCATTTTTATAGGCAGGATCGTGCTACCAATGGCAGGTATTTTAAGTCAAAACATGATATTTTCCAAATTATAACCAAGTGGTTCTTGTGCCTAAACCTAACCACATGTTAACCACAGCGTTTCAACGTTCCAAGTTTCAACATATCCACTACATAATAATGTACAAATGTAACATATCTGTGGTTTGCAAAAATGTACAATGGCCATATTTTTTCTGGCGACTGAGTGGAAAAACTTCTACTGGAGGGTTAAGCTGCTTAAAAAATTTATAAAAAAAAAGGTCTGATATTTAAAGGCAAATTGTTTGCATCATAATTAAAAGGAAAACAGAAACAGCAAATTCTAATATCGTGAGACAAAGAGGACTTCAGTGGCAGACTTAGATCATGGGCTTAGTTTTCACTTTGTGGTAAATTACTTCAATTCAATAGGTCAACTTTGGTGACACCAGAGAAAGTTTGACATGTTGGTGAAATACAAAACAAGATCAGTGAAAATACATCAGGAAATAGTTTTATGTCAGTGGCATAAAGGTGCACTCTGTTAGACTTCATTCTGTTGGGTGAGGTCTTCTGACACGCTGTTGAACTCAGTGGCCTTAGCACTCATCCCCAGGTACTGCTTCAGGAACTCGCTGAAACGTTTTTGGCTGTTCCACTTGCGGGCTGACTTCCGAATTCCGATAAAGCCACCATACCTCTTCTGGTACGATCTTCCTGGAGACATCAGCTTCCTGTAGCCGTGCCTCCCTTTGACGAAGCCGCCGAACCTTTTGGAGACACTCAGCCCTGCGTCGCTCTGTCCTCTTGCTGCTGCGTCAGCAGCCCCTTCGTCCTGCCCTGCCTCCTCCTCATATTCATCCTCAAGAGACAGGGCATTCTGGGAATTGTAGGCAGTGTTCAGCTGGTTGCCTTTGCCACCTAGATCCCTTTGATCCACCCTAAGTGCCCGGGTCAAGTGATCGTACCTTTGCAATGCAAAGGGCAGCAACAGACCTCCCTCTACCTGCGCTTCCTCTTCAGGAAACAGGGCCTCCACCTCCTCCTGAGATCTTTTCCGCAGAGTACCGGTAAGGGAGGAAATTGGCGAGGACAGCACCTTACAACAGAAGTCCCAGGAGAAGGCTGGGGAGATGTTGGCTTCACACTCAGTGAGACACACCTTACAGGGACAAAGACAAGAGATAATATGAAATTTCTTTCTGAAGGCAGTTTATATCATAAAATGAACAGTTTTCAGCCTGGCTCTTGGAATGACAGTGTAGGTCTGTCAGGCGTTTAGTTGGTCAGTCCACTGCACTGATCAGAATGCAACAACTATTGGCTGGTCTCCCATGATTTTATTTCACACACATTCATGTTCCCCTTCGGGATGAATTATTGCTTGGGTTGTCGCTTAACCTTTCATATAGTGTCACAATGGGGTCAACATTTCTTTTGTTCAGTACTTTTAATTATGAGGAAATACCTGCAAAACTAATTACATCAGCCTCAGATGTACTTCATGCTCAATGCAAATTAGCAAATGTTAGCATGCTAACACGCAAAAATAAGGTCATGAACATTATACCTGCGGAGCATAAGCATGGGGCGAGACATTTACAAATATGTTGTGTGACTAGGGTGAACTGACCCTTTGCAACAAACCCCTAAAGCTCATCATTGGGCGTATAAATAAAAATGCAAAATTCTTAAAACCTCTTACCATTCCTGTAAAATTCACCTGAATTCAAATAAACACACATCCAAAGCATACCCAAAGTAAACAGAAAGCTGTTCTTGTTTCATTTTTAGTGAATGTACATGAATGGTCTCATTTAAATGGAAATAAGTTTCAACACACTGAAATAATCATTGTTCTTTTTTTTTTTTTTAATCATTGCCTGAATATTTTCTTGAAAAAAAGATGCTGCAGATGACTAGAACTAGGACTAAACAACAATAAAATTAATTAATTAAAGCACGGTAGCCAAGACCTGGTCCTGATGAACTGCTGTCATTTATTAGTGTTATTAATTACACATGTTTCAAATACGTCTGTCATGAGGGAGATCTAGATTGTGTATTACTCAAAGGATTTGATGTGCTAGATTTGTTTTGATTGGAAGTCCTCAACTCATTCTTAACTTGGACAATACAAAATTCAATGTGACAGAAGAAAATTGATTGGATTTTGTTCTATCTTCATCTTCAGTGGTTCAATAGATGTGTGATGTTGTGTGTGTTGTTGTTGTTGGTGTGTGTGTGTGTGTGTGTGTGCTATCTGAGGAAATGTATCTGTCAGAATAAGACTAAGGATTTTAGGACCACAGTGACCACAGTGCTTTGCATCATTTACCATTTCCATAAAGCATACTAATCATGGGAGCTGTGATCTCTCATTGATTTACAAGTAAAATGCCTTTCAGCCAGAAATGATTGAGGGTGATAAAGGAGAGGAGACAATTACAATAAGCAGAAGAAAACAGGGATTCTTAGAAAAAAACAACAACAGGGGTGAGGGGTGGTGTGGGGAGTCAGTAGATGGCTTGTGGCAAGAATTGTCTCGGTCTAACAAGAAAATAAATGCCATCAGTAGGAGGTCCTTTTCAATCACCTAACACTAACAACGCTGCTTTCAAAGTTGTATGTTTTAAGCCATGTGCACTTGAGTCTCCCCCGTGTGCTAGCTGCCAAAATGTCTGAGATGCAGACATGTCATTATCCAGAAAGAAACAACCACCAGGCATAAGCTCTGAGAGGAGAAACACACATCTATCCCCAGGAATCAATTAACCACAACAAATTAAAACTCAAATGCCAAAAGGGTAATTTGTTGAGTCAGGATGGGAAGAGGGGATGAATACAGGAAGGTGGGTGAGGGGTTTCCACTTTTTTTTAATCACCAATTTAAAAGAGCCCAGTGGAGACATTTTGTGTGTGTGAGTTTGTATATGTGTGAGAGTGCTATGAGGTTTGCTAACTAATATTTCAGAGCAAGATTTGTCTTTATCTTATTTCAGTTTTTAACGCCACCGGACACAATGGACTTAGGACCACCCTTTCGAGTGGAAGCTCTACTCTTGCAATCTGCAGTGTGTGTGTATGTGTGTGTGTGTGTGTGTGTGTGTGTGTGTGGAGTACTCACCATAGTGTTGAAACTGAGCTGTTTGGGCAGGATGTTGCTGCAGGACAGGCAGTCTGCCTGACAGTCACTCTGTCCAGGATCACACAGACAGAGCAGCAGCAGAGCCACCAAAGTCTTCATGGTCCCACTGTCTGCTGCACAACACAGGACAAAGCAAATACACATGTTCAGTCCAACAATTTAATACTTCACTTATCAAACAGTTTCTCTTTCTTCTTTGCAATGGAGTGGTCTCTGACTGGGTTGTCTCAAGTTTTACTAAGCACTGCTATTACAAGGTTTCCAACAGTGATGCAGGTTATTATAACATATATTGTCTTAATTGAGAGGGTGTCTAAGCTTGATCAAGCAAAGGTAGAATTATAAAGAGGAAATGAAAAGTGTTCTATTCATAAATATGATCAAAGTGCATTATAGTTTGTATTTTTTAAATGTATTTAATACAGGCAAATAATACACATAACACATAGTACAATAAGATAACATCACAATATAACCTTGTAAAAAAAAAAAAAAATGAGGGAGAGAGAAAAACATTATTACTACTGATAATATCTAATGTTATATATAAATTAATAATAATAATAATAATAATAGTCAAACCTTTGTCTTTTAAGAAATAAAAGTAGTGACAGAGTATTGATTGGAGAGTCAAAGTAGCATTAGCCAAGGATACGTTTAAAGCTAGCTTAAGACCAAGAATGGAAGCAGCTTTCATGCCTCTCAACAGCTTTGAAAGTGTTTCATTTACATGTTGTATCTTCTTAGCCAGCATACTTGCAACCAAACAATCAAAGAATCACCTTAGTGATGTTGTTCTAAAGGTCCAAAAGTGTGCAAAGGCTAACCTCTTAGATGCTACATGTTATCACTAAGCACAGCTGATGTTGGTCAGTAATCAGCTGCTCGTTAAGCTCCAGAATGAGGCTGTTCATGTGTTAAAGGTCCAGTCAGTGTGTAGGATTTAGGGGGATATATTGGCAGAAATGGAATATATTGTAGTAAGTATGTTTTCTTTAGTGTATAACTGCCTGAAAATAGGAGTCGTTTTGTTTTCGTTACCTTAGAATGAGCTGTTTATATCTACATAGGGAAGTCCTCGCCCTAGTTAGCAGCCCCTCCGCGACATGAAAGTTGGTAATTTAAATTACCAGGTCCATTTGTTGTGGAGAGAATGGGACCTCTGCAGATAATTCAACTCATGGTAAAAACCTCCTAGGTAAGTACACATTAGCAGGTGCTGGGCTAGCTGCTTGTCTGCACATGCCGAACAGCATAGGAGAAACACTGATTTGTAAGGTGAAACTACTTTATTCAGTGTTTATAGTGGTTTAAAGCACCAGGTCCATTTGTTTTGCAGAGAAAGTGACCTCCGTGGATAATTCAGCTCCGGGTAAAAACCTCCTGAACAATGAACGCTGATGGAATTCTAGCCTGGTGATGTTTCAGCTGGTTGCAATCTGCAATCCTCACCACTAGATGCCACTAAAATCCCCTAAATGTTACACACTGCTCCCTTAAACATACAGTACATCAAGGCTAACAAGACTGGCGGCTTCCCAGTGCTTATGTGTTTGTGCTAAGCTAACTCGTTCTATACTTAGTCATAGCAGGAAAGGCACATGTATAACTGTTAACATTAGAAATGACTGCACTGTATTTATATGAGCTACTGTCTGGGTCCTGGTATTGTGTGATGTAGATCACTGTTATGGCTACAGCTGGATTACTTGATGAAATTTGGATTTTCCTGCTATGACAAGTGAAAATGTCTGTCATGGAAAAGGTCTATAGATATCAATCTTTTCATCTTACTCAAGGTAACAAATAAAGCAAGAACATTTCCTAAATCTTGGAGTATTTTTTTTTTTTAAATTTGTTGACTCTGACACTGCAATGGGAAGAGGAGGGACACAGAGGACAGTAAAAGTATCATAGGGGACATGGAGTGAGACTAGGGGACACACAGAAGGCACAGCAGATATAAAATTTGACAAACAAAGATTAAACAGCTGAAAAAAAGCAAAAGAAAATAGTTTGACCTTATTCTGGTAGAAACAGCCCAGTCTGGTGAGTCTGACGTCAGAAACACAACCAGAGTTTTCATCTCATTAAACAAACTCGTTAACTCCTTTAATTGATGCCTCAATTAATGCCTTTGGCAACAAACTGAGTCATTGTTTGTTGCAGACAAACACACACACTCACATGCACAAAACATTCAGACACACAAATTTAGGCTGTGCAGCACCCAAACACACATTCATACAAATACATGCATGTGCCCACTATGTATGCCCACTACACAGTGACTGATAGACAAACTGAAATACAAATTCACACACACACACATTACCACACTGCTCTTTCAATTGTAGGTTGCTGTCATTATCTATTAAACTGACGTGGCTGAAAGTAAAACTAATTTCTCTTCAATCAAACCCCACTTTATAATGTCTAAGAAATTTGGAATTTATTCAGAGTAATTAAAAGCTGATAAAGGTGTAATTACACCACGGCTCGTTCCAATCTCTAACTAACCATTAAATGGCAGCTCTGCAAAATTAATCAAAATTAATCAGTGTCCTAGTCTGCAAACAATAAAAATGTGTGTCAAGTGCATCTTTAGCGTGATAGGAAAGAAGATGGGTTTGTCAGTGAAGGACAAAAGAGCAGCGCAGCCATTTTAGGCAGGGATATTGGAGGACAGCTAAGGGCGGGCGGTATTGGCAGATGGCAGTGGATTTAGACAAACAGCTTGGGTGTATTCATTTGGCCCAAATGCATCCCATTCTCCAACCTCCTGTCACTGACTTCGTGCTGACTTGGCTTCCAAAAATGAACTGCCATCATTAAGGATAATGCATGAAGGAGACTCCACATCTTCTCATCTCTGGTATCTACTGAGGGGTCGCCACAGGACGCATACACACGGCCTTGATTTAGAGTAAGTGAAGACAATGAAAATGGAATATACGCTTACCCCCATACTATCAAACCGTAATATTCTAGACTTAAAGTCTAACGGCACACTAATAGCTCTGTGAGGCTGTATTCAACAGGTTTGGCATACCGCAAATGACCATTTGTATATCAATTACTTACCAGATGTTAAAGCCGCCACAAGGAACTTTTAACTGGATATGCAAAAGTCTCTTGTTTCTGCTGATGTCAGTGCGTGACCTACAACAGCAAATGAGACCATCGGTGTGAAGATAAGCTATTTCTATATAGTGTATATCCATACCTTTAGGAAACTGTGTCCGGGTCCGCCCCAGGTCGCTTCCAGGACGAAGCGATTTACGGCACTCAGATGGCACACTTCATCTTACCTAGCTGCTTACATTTAGTGACTCTTATAAATAGTCGCTATTCCTCCTCCTCGACCCGACGTCCACGGGGAGTTAAAATAGCAGCAATCATCGTGTAAAAGTTCTGTGAAAGCACTGGACTCACCAACAGTCAGCCATGTCTCAGTCACACAGAGAAAATCCAATCCTCGGGAAGTCAGGAAATCCTTCAGGATAAACGTTTTGTTCGCTAGCAATCTAGCATTTACCAGCCCAATCCTGGCAGGAGCCAGAGGGTACACAGCGTTAGCTGTCTGGGGAGCCATACACAGAGGCCGCAGGTTGCACAGATTCACCCCGTGCCAGTGGGGAGGAGGAGAGCAGGGGCCACAGGGCTGGAACACCTCATCCGGGCCGACGACAGGTAACAGCCAGGCGTCGACAGGGTCCAGTAAGTGCCGAGAAATAAAGAGGCGAGGCACCGCTCCATACTCAGTCCAAGAAGCCGTGGAAGTGCTCGCCAAACAGGCTTTCATCCTTACCAGCCGACCGCTGAATTTACCCCGGCGGCAGTGGCGCTTATGCCGGAGAGGTGGAGCTGGGGCACAGCAGAGGTGAGCTGGGATCCCCGATAGGAGCGGGGGCAAAGTTTTCCCGTCTTGTTGTTTCATTCATCCCCAAAACAAACACATGCACGAGCCAGGTAAGCGTCTTTAAGACAATACGCGCTAGAGCTCATGGGAAATGTAGGCTTCATTCCAGCAAAACACTACCGCTTTTGTCCACAGGGTCGCCAAAATCAACTCAAAATGAAAGTTCCTTGTAGGGGCTTTAAGTTAAATTGGTGAAAAAAACGTTTTTCTCCCATGCCTCAACAGGAGAAAAGTCTTGATGAATTGAGGTCATAGGCGACCACATTTAACAATGGCAAAACTAGATCAAAATATCAATTTCCAAAAAATCTCACACAACTCATGCAGTACAATCCAAGTCTCATTTATTGAGTCATATGCTCAGTGTGTCCCACACAATCCTTTCCAACAGGTAATTGAACTAAAAGAGAAACTTTATCTCTGCTATTTTTAAAGCCAGACTCTATTGACAAAAACAGTCTTTTACCTTGCTGAACACAGGGGTTGCTGGTCTATCACTGCCTCAATCAGTAGATTGTGTTATTGTGTGACTTGAACTTTAAAGTCAGTTCAGATTCAGCAAAGTCACATAATAATGCAAACAAACTACACACCCTTGTAGGGTTGACGTCACAATGATGTCATTTTATCAGCTGGAGGCAAAACACAACTTGCACCACAGGACTGTAGGCTATATAGAAATCTTAAAATGTCATCTTGTTGGGTTAATGGGAGCCAGAATAGAAGGAGGCATGGCTCAAAACTCAAATTTTATCGCAAACAAACGAAAACAAAGACAACTATGGTTAAATGCGGTAAGACGAAAGGACTGGATGCAGGCATACAACAAAAATCTTGCATATTAGTTCAGGGGAAAACTATTCACTGTTGACTGGATGAATAACGTTATGTGTATTGAGTGATACTTGTCCACCTAATCAGAAACTGGGAAGGTTTTAAGAGGAATTTTGTATTTCTCCGTGACACTAACTATTTAGTGCAACAAACTGGACAAAACTGTTCAAGTGTCATCTTCCTTTGTAAAACTGGCATATTAATCAGCCACAAACCTTCCTGTCAATCATTCATCCACTGAGAGCATACAGGTTGACCAGTCTGGTCCCGCTGGTCCATGTTTACTTATTCAATGAAGATTTGCGGTCCCGGAGAGTGAGTGACCTAACATGGTGCATTTGTAAATTCAGACTGATG